TTACAGCGGCAAACCCTGTCAAACACAATTCTTGATAGAGAGAGATGCTTTAGAGAGCATTGCCAAGGGACAGATTTCAGTCGCTCTTCTCACACACGCTGAATGCACGCCTTTGTACGGAGCCAACCGGCTCACGGCACTGCAGTGCCTCCCACAAGACGTCCTTTCAGCACATAATGAAAGATTTAGATTTAAAATAAAGAACTGCTGCTCCGCCTGTACGAGGAGGGCTGAGTGGAGGCAGACATGGGACACCCAGAGCTCACCTCACCCAGTGCCCTCAGCCCTGGGGACCCCCTCTGAATGAAACCATCCTCTTCACCCCCACACACGGGTGAACCATCTGCAGGGCACCCATGCTAACACTGGTTAACCTGTTGCTCAGGTTTTTTGCTCTTTATCATTCTCTTCTGCCATGCCCAGACAGCAGCACTTCCAACAAACCTGCCCGCCAAGTGCTGCCAGCCTTCCACGTTTTGTCTAATGAGGGCTAAATCAAGTTCCCTGGTTTAAGCAAACACAGTAACTTGGAAGCGTACTTCAAATGGGAAAAATAAGTGTTCTGTCAGAGCACTCTTGGCACGCCAGCCCTGGAAACCACAATGACACTGAGCCACTGAGAGCTGACCCACCCCAAACGTGGCTCACGTCAGCAGTGGCACACAAGGGGTTAAACACCTCCATGAGTGGAGGGGACAGAAGTAATGGGCAGCTCAGCCAGCACAGATCAACACTGCTCCAGTCTTAAGAGAAAACCCTTCTGCCCCACCAAACCCAACCATGGGCATCTTGCATGGAGCCCAGCTCGGTTTGTTGCTGTGCCCCCCGGTTCTGGGCTGCACCACTGAGCACCATAAATGCCTTATGAGCTCTTCACCAGCCCAAGTGAATTAGTCTGGGACTTGTGGCTGTTCGGAGGCATCACAGCAGCCCCAGCACTACACACACTTCCTAATGCTGTCGCCTGGCAAGGATGGGAACTGACGCCCCAGAGAGATTATCGGGTGTCAACTTCCATCTGGCATTTGTCAGAGCTGGGAAGAAAAAAGGCAGTTCTTATCAGATCTGCAAATAAAGGAGCACTTCCACTTCGTGTGGTAGCGACTGGAAACATTTCTTTGTGTGTGAAGCTTTAAAAATATCTTGCCCTTGGGGTTGGCTCAGTCCGCTCAGTGCTCTGAGACCCCTTTCCCATAGAAAGGTAATAAAGCAAAGCTTATGGCTACAGAAATTCCCAGCACATAAAAATTACAGGAAACTGTTGCTAAGTAATATTTCTACCTAAGTAAACATCACAAAACGTTTCCCACACACACCTCTGAACTTTATTATTTAAAACTGCCTTGAAGATGTTCGTATTTTCAGCATTCCTTTTGGCACAGTCCCTTGAAAAGCACTCCGTTTTGTTTCTCAGCAGCTGAAAAACACCTTGGACTGAGCAATGTTTTTCAGAGCGCTTTGTTGTGCTGTTTGTACCAGGAAACAAAGCAGGCTGCTAAAGCAACCCTTCAGATCCTTACCTGCCCCTCACCTGCCCCATTATTTTTCCTGGATAGGTCACAGGAAAATGAAAGGGAGATCTGGCTGCGCCCTTCGTCTCCAGACCTGCTTACACATCATTAAAAAATCCAGACAAGCATCATTATTTTCATACGGTGCCTCTCTTTAGCAGCTCCATGACGTCCAAGTACTCCAAAACACCCTCAATTCTACCTGCTCTATTCTACCCCCTTCTTCAGCTGCTTTCACGCACCTTCCACCACCTTTTAACGAGGCTAACAAATTCCTGATTGCATTAATTGATAGAGAGACGAGTTTTATTTTTAATCACGTGAAAAGCCTACAGACAAACCCCAAATGGCCCACGCTCCAATTCCTGGTAGCACGAAGTCCCAGTGTCACAAAGATGGCAGAAACCGATAGAGGTTTCATTCAGGATGAATGGGAGAACCTGGACGTCACCATCTGCTCCAGGAGGAACCCACCCTGTATTCTGGATGCGTTCTCCCATCCCACAGCGCAGCCCTGCGATGCTCACTGAGGGCAGCCTGATGTTACAGATCCTTTCCCTGCCAATTTCATTCAGCCGCTCCGCTCTTCCTTCCCCTCACCTTCCTCCACCTCTGGATGACCCAGCACACGAGGAGAAGGTCGAACCAGGCACTGCTGAGAACATCAGACTGCTTCAAATTACACACGGACAGAGAGGACTGAGCGCAGACTGGCAGGAAATCCATTTCAGTGGGAATTGTTCCTTCCTTGAGAGCAGTGACAGACATATAGACTTTTTATTGCATTGGAAAAAAAAAAGAAAGAAAAAAAAAATGCAAAATATGAAAATCATGTTTGGCAGATCTGAACTGAGGTCTGGGACGTGGCATTTCCAGCATTTTTCTTGTCTGGATTCCTCAGCAGAGACACCCTGCGTGAAGACGCTGCGCTGAACTAAGAACTGAATTTCTACAGCAATGAAAATAAATACATATGTATTAAAAAATAAAAAAGGCTTATAAAAACGTGGGCTGAAAAGATAGAAAACCTCCAGAAGAGGCACAGCCCTTGGCTGCCACAAGCAGCACAAGGCTAGACCCAAATTCCAAACCGACTGCATATTTCTCTCCCTTCCTACCCAAAATACAACATGAGTTGGCCTCAGCTGAACTGCTGTTCGTTTTTCACACCAACACGAGCGACGCAGAAAAAAGGAAAGGACGATTCTGTCACACATCCTGAGCAACACGCCTGCAGGCTGCTCTCTGCGTGCGCTGGGCATCCCCTTCTAGACTCCCCAGTACCACCAGTTGGCCATCCCAAAGCACACAGCTGCCCACATTATTTCAGTTCCTCCACGCGCCACCCGAGCTCCCACGTCCGCAAGATCTTCTGCTCTGCTGCCTCCAGCATGTTATCACCAACTGAAACACTGCTGGGCTGCACAGCACGACTCCAAGGGCTGCAGGAGCGGCTCTGAACTGCGTGCTGTGACTCAGTTGGTGCTGGAGTTAAATGGGAGACGGGAATTGGCTGAAAGGAAGGAATGCCAAAGATGCACAAGGAGCAGCAGAGGGACACGGACACGATGGGCAGGGGAGGGCAGGGCCAGGGGGTGCTGGGGGCTGCAGCATTCGGTGCTGAGATCCCCAGATAAGCTGCCTGGGTGCAGAGGGAGACTCGATCCCATTGATGCCCTCAGTCCTGAGAGTCTTTGCAAAGCTCTTTAGGCAAAGGAAAGCCCAAGTTGTATTGCCACAAGCTCACAGTAATTGTGACAAAGCAATTTCATGCATGAAGGGTACGTTATGGCTGGCAAAGAACAGGGAATGCAGCAATTCCACCAACAGATTCTCTAAATGAATACCACAGCCTCTACCATAGCTACCACAGCACAGTGCGTCAGTGCAGGAAGTCGAAAGGCAATTAAAAAAAAAGTCAAAACAAAGTCTGAAAAAGCGCTCATAAACAGTTACAACAACTTGTGAGGCCAAAGGCAGGTGCCACAGACTGACACCATCTCCCTGTGAGCACCAGCTGCACTGAGAGCACGAAGCAGCATCCGCCACAAAGCTACATGAGACTCATTCAGGTGTCTTTGGAAACATCTGCCCATTACAGCCAAAGGGCATCGCAGCATCGCTGCCCCAATTTCGCTAAAAGGAGCACGGAAAACCGAACGGAGGATTGGCACTGCTGAAATAATTCCCCAAATTCCCATTTCAAATTCCAACCATACGGAGGCACCAGGTCGGCTTCCTTTGGTGTGAGCAATGCCTGCCGCCCGCCGGGACCCGCGCTGCGCCCATGGGAGAGGCTCAGGAGCTGAGAGCTCTGCCCCAGAGGTGCAATGTTAAATTCCTATCGGTTTCGTGGAAATAAACAGTCACATAAAGGAGAAAAGCCATACGTTCAGTCTGCTGCAGCACAGCCCCAAAACTCACAGGAATGAGGGGTGCTCAATGCTCTAGTCACAGAAAACTGCTTCAGTTCGACCTCTAATCTTGGGAAACAGGAGAAAACAGACCACGAACACACAGCAAACCAGGTGCACTGCTGATAATGACTGTACACCAGAAGAGCTTCCAAACTAAAATGCTTTACAACCTTACGTTTCCTTTCAGAAAAGAAAGGCACACGGACTTTCACATGATCCTGCTCAAAGCCTGTTATTCCAGCAATAAAAAATAACCACTTTCTTTAAAAGGAAGCGAGACAATTTGGGGTGAGGAGCAGCAGAGGGGAAACCACATTAATTTCATTAGTTTATGCATACTGCTAGGAATTCCGCCTGAAATCTGGCACTCAGTGCTCGGAGTTGCCCTTTAGAGCTTGGCAAGAAATTCTCCTCAGCCCGCAAGTTTCCTAATTTCGTCTCAGGACACACTGCTTCATTTGGATGCAGCACCGCTGAGGAGACAGGCAGCTCTGAATGTGTCACTTTTAACTCAATTCACTTTGCTTCTTGTCGGACGGGCTTAACATAAATCAAACCAAACGTATAATTACAACCGAAATTAAGGTCAGCTTCAAGTTTGGAAGAAACAAACCTGTGTGAAGTTCAAAGCCACCCTATGGACACTGAGATCTGGAGTCTGGGGGCTGGGACGGCAGCTGTGCGCGCATCTCCGTGGCACCAAACCCGGCCTTCCTCCCCTCCCCTTCTCCCAGCCCAACCAGCTCCCAGCTTCCTGCTGTGTGCAAACACTGCTCACCCACCCACCCATCTCACACCTTTTTATGGCAGGAAGGTTTCAGTAAAAACGTTATTGCATCCTTCCCAAGTCAGCTTTATTCCACAAGACCTTTCCCTGCCGCTCCGTTTCCGCCTTTCAATCAACCCAGGCTTGTCATCCCATAGCCAAGCCCCAGAATTCCTAAAACTATTACACAGACAAGAGCTGCACCCACAGAGCACAGCTGGGAGCTCCGGGCAGGCGCTGACTTTCCAGGGAACCCAACCACGGCACTTTGGGGGCATTACTCAGGTGGACGGACAGCTCACCCACCTCGCTGGCAGCGGTCGTGGGTCCAGCAGCGCTCGATGAAGATGCCGTTGATGACGGTGGGCGGGCAGTTGCTTTTCCCTTTCACGGTTCCTGGACACACATCTCCGCACTCCTCCTTGTCGTCCTTGTTGGCGATGATGTAGTTGTCCTCGACGGAGTCCAAAATCCTCGACCAGTCGATGGTGGACAGGTAGCACAGCTCGTTGTTCTTCTCGATGCGCACGGCGCCGCGCGTGATGTTCATCAGGTTGTAGAGGCCGATCTCCTTCAGGTGAACCATCTCAAAGATGACCAGCGCGTAGTTGAAGAACAGATGGGTTCCTCGGATCACCGTGAGGTTGGGGAAGAGCCCCTTTAAGCTCTCCAGGCCATACACACGGAACAGAAGCAAGTAGTCTGTAATCATAGTCAGTTTGGGGAAGCTGAGCTCGCGGAAATCTTCAGGCTTGGTTTTAAACATCAGCAGTATTTGCAAGTGGCCCTCAATCACCGTGCAGTTCTCCAGCAAGCTCAGCCGGGTCAGGTTGTTGCGGATGTCCATGCTTCTGCAAACTGGAAGGCAAAGAACAATGCTGTTTATTTGTTCTTCTAAGGTGACTGTTAGCTTGCTAAATACATCCATTTTTCCAACTGTATCATAACATACAGCTGCATTCAGATTACACGGACGGGTCCTGTGCCACAAAGCAGGCTTGGAGCCTTAAGAAACAGAGCTGGGAACACTCCCTGGTATACGATTACAAAACACAACTGAATGGGGATTTCATAACTTTCTGCCATCTTGAGTTTGTGGATTTTACCTCTACCACGACTGGAAAGGCAGCGCCGGGCTGCGGACGTCACTCAGCGTTTACCGACATGGAGGTGTCCATGCAACGCAGTCTGTTTTCTTTAGATAGTTGCCAGCGACACAACCACCTCACTGCATTGTGCAATGGGTGCTGGGGGGGTCACTGAGAATGGCGGCGGGGAGGGGAAGATAGGAAAGGAATAATGGGGAGAACACAGCAGCACTCGGAAGAAAAAGCCTGGAAATAGAGGGAAGGAACGCAGGCTGTACTCCTGCCCAGCAGACAGGAATGGTTTACTGCACCGGCAGCCTCCGCCCAAGGCATTATTTTCAGATCAGGTGCTTCCCTGGGACTTTCTTTGTTACTGTTTTCTAAAGGTTGCAGATCTCCCTGCCCTGCCCAGCCTTGCTCAGCTGGAGCAGCCGCCCCAGCAGATGGGGAACAACAGAGCAGGGGGGGCAACAACCTGAACGTCCAGGGAGCGGAGATGGGGAGAGGGGACACCGAGCACAGGTGGGGAGATCAGAGCTGTGGCTGCAAGGTGCCCCAACCATGGCACTGCAAAAGCCAAATACAGAGACTGCATCCCCTGCAGGGACTCTCTTTGCCTGCAGCCGGGACTGCCCTGCGCACACACATCCTCCCTTGAGAGTTAACAGAGCAGAGTATTTACCTTTTTTGCTCACTGTATATACAGACCACTGACTGTAAAACTGAGCTTCGAGAAATCACTCTGCAGTAATCAAGCCTTACGAAATGAAGGTGCGTGCAGATGTTGGGCAGCTCCAAATGTCAAACCCCCACGGGTGCCACTGCTGCGTGAGTTAAAAATACATTTTATGCAAACGTCTTAATGATTGTTTAAAACTTTGCTCAACTGCAATAAAAAAAATAAAACTGGCAGCGCTGCAATAGGACTCAGAGCAATTTTACTGCCCAACGGGGCTGCTGGCACACTGAGCACAGCCTCAGAAATGCTTTCTGGAAGAAGTTGAGGCGCACAGAGCATCAGGAACGGCAGAATGGTTTGGGTTGGAAGGAAAGATCTAGAAGAAATTTCATCAGTGCAACAAGGCTGCGGTTTTTTTTAGTAACAATTAAAATCAGCACATTTCTCTCTGATTCTGAACCAACAATCTGCCTGCGCTGAGAAGTGATTGACTTTGCCACAGCCTCTAATGAGCTCCTGACATTCACTGGAGGAAGAGGAACTAATCACAGCTCAGCTGGTGCCAAGTGGAAGAGCTTCACAGACCTACAGGGGATCGCGAGGAGAACAAGCTGCTTTCCAGCCACACGCAGACCAGGAGCAGGGAAGGCACAGGGCTGCTGCCCGGCTTCCTTCACCAGATCCCTGCGCTGATGGCAGTGCCAAGGGGTGCTGCTCAGTGCTGCTCTGAGACCCCACGGCACCCAGAGCACATCCCAGGTCTGTTCTGAAACAAACAACTGAATAAAAGCTGCTGGGATGCTCAACCCATGAACATTTAAATGCTCTAGCCAGATTTTTCCACCTGTAGAGAGAATCACATTTAAGGCATATTTTTCATTATCTACTTCAGGTTAGTTTTTACGTGCTAAGCATTACCCACAGCACTCAAACTCCTCTTTCACACCTCCAGGACCCAGCAGAAGGAGCCATAACCACGTGAAGCCAAATCTGCTTCTCTGCTGCAGGGCCCTCAGCCCCATCCCCTGCCCGAATCCCACTCTGCAGCAGCTCAGTGCAGCTGCTCACTCAGCCGAGCATTCACTGTTACCAGGACAACGAGAAGCAGATTTAGGCGAAGTAACACTCTTGCTGCCAGAGAGGAGCTGCTCCTCCGTCTCTGGTTACTCAGAACGAAGTAACTTAAAAAATCGAATCAATTAATTGTCACAGACAAGTTTCACTACACCCCCCCCCCCCCCGTGAAGAAGGCTGCAATGTGATAAATGCACACAGGCCAAACCCTGGGACCTCCGTGAGCCACTGCTGCTGCTCTGGGTCTGCACCAGACTGGGTCTGCCAGGATGACATGGGAAGCCCACAAATCATTTCAGGTGACCAACGGGAAACTGCTTCAAGAAATGAACTGCCTAAGAAAAACTGCGCTGGCTGATGGAGCCCAAACCACGGCAGCTCTACGCACTGCTGCAGCACTAGGAAACGGGAAAAGGGCCCCAGGGTGATCCCTGGGATAAGTGATGGAGCAGAAAGCATCCTGCCCAGCACCAGGACAGGCTGCAGCCATGCCTCAATGAACAAAAAACACCTATAAGTGAGACATTCGTTTTCAAACTTTGGTTTTCCACCTCCATCATTTACTTATGAACAATGTCAAGTTCTGAGAAGCACTCAGCAATGTGGGGTATGGATCCACAGCCCAGGGGCAGCACCCAACACAGGGAACCCATGGGTGAGCATCCCCAGGGCAGCACAACGACGTACTCAGAAGGGGAGTGCTCTCCGGTCATCTGAACAAGCAGAGGGAAGAGAAAAGTACGGGGCATGAGAAATGCTGCCATGAGGCTCAAAGATCAGACAATACCGTCACTGGGGAGCAGCGTTATCACGGAGCACACAGTGCTGAATGTGAGACACTGCCAGAACGCAGCCTCCATGAGCTCCACCGCTCCGGGAACAACGTGTGCTGTGCTCACACAGCCTTTGTGCTGCATCCCCCGACCCAACTGTGCTGTGTGAGCCACTGCAGGGCCCTTGAGCTGGACCTCAGCACGGCAGCAGGCTGTGAGATGTTTGCTGCAGTGTTTGTGCTGTGTGAGCAATACACATTCCAGCCCAGGTTTTGCTTCTGCACCTCCTATGTCGCTCCTGCTATCCATCCACAATTGTACAGCACATTTTCCTTTCCTACCGTGGAGTAACACAGCAAACACCATCCGAACTGCTCACCTTTTACACTTGCAATAAAAAGCAGAATTAGCTTTTAAATAAGCAAATAAACAGCGCTTCGGTGCAGCAGCAACAACAATGCTTTCAGATCTGACATCGGCGGGCTGGAGCAGCGTGTGCATGTATTTGTTATCAGTGCTATTCACCAACCAGCCCGTCGCTGCGCTGCTGTGCCCCTCCGGAGCCGCGCACCTCCAGGGCCTCCTTCAGGGCTTCAATGCCAAACCTCGGCGTGAGGCGGCACGGGGCTCTGAAGCTCACAGCGGGGTGAAGCCGCGCTGCCATCGAGCGCTGCGCTCTGCGCTTTATTCTCGCAGCGCCGGCGACGTTTCAGAAATGCCCAATCGCTCGTGGATTCGGAGCTGTTCTCTCGCCGCTGCCTTTCGCGGTGGGAAAGCCGACGGGCGGGCCGTGGGGCAACCCCGGCACCTGCCCGCTTATCTCCCAATAAACACGTTCACCTTCTTGGAACTCGCCGACAGCACAAACCGTCCCACCGCGCGGCTCCTTCGCCCCGTGCCCGAGCCGAACCGCGATCCGCACACGGCGCTGCTCGACGCCCGCCCGATGCCCGGCCCGGACGGATCGGCGCAGCTCGGCCCCAACGGACCCCGCGAGTCCGCCCGGCGCAGCGGCACAACGCGTTCCCGGCGCGGCCCCGGAGGGACGACGGAGGGACGCCGAACGAGCGGCCGAACAGCCGCGGAGCGGCGGCCGTCGCGCCTCCCAGCCGCCCGGGGCCGAAAGCGCCGAACCGAGCGATGAAGGTCACCCGAGCCTCCCCCCTTCTCCGCCCCCCGCGGGAGCGCTCCGGGCCCCGCCGCCCCGCGCTGGAGGCCGCGCCGCCCGCCGCGAGGCCCGGCCCTGCCCCGCCGCGCAGAGGTTCAAAGGGTAGCGCTGCGGGGCCGCCTCTCCCCTCGCGGTGCGGGGCCGCAGCTCGGCTCCCCGCCGCCCCGCCGCCCCTCGCTCCCCGCTCGCCGCTCCCCGCCCGCACTCACTCTCCGCGCGGCCGCCGCAGGCCGCCAACACCGCGGCCACCGCCACGGCCGCCGCCGCCGCCGCTCTCGCTCCCATGGCCGTCGCTGCAGCCGCTCGGCGCGTCCCGGCGGGGGCGAATCAGAGGCCGCGGGGCGGGCGCGGGGGCCGGGCCCGGCTTCGGCTTCGCATCGTCGGAAAGAGCCCCGCGGAACGGCCGCGGTCCCCGCTGCGGAGCCCGGCCCGGCTCGGGACGCGGCTCTCGGCCCCTCCAGCGCAGGCCGGGCGGGCGGCCGCCTCCTGCCCAGTAAACAAGGGGCTGCCCCCGTCAGCTGCGAGCGGGCGGCGGCAAGAGGCGGCGCGGAGCCGGGAGGGACGGGACGGGGGAGGAGCGCGGCGGTGGCAGCGGCTTCCACCTGCCGGGCCGGGGCGCTGCGCTGAGGGCGGGGGCGGCCGCGGGCGGAGCGGAGCGGAGAGCGGCCCTGCGCGCGGCCCGGTGCCGTTCGCTCCCGGTGCCGCTCTGTTGGCCGCCGAGCAGCCGCGCGCAGCCCCGCCCGCCCGGTTCCCACGCAGGGACGCGGCGTTTGAAGCCCTTTTCCCTCCTTTTTTAATCGTCCTCGCTGCGCCGTTGTATGAAGCCACTACCGGACGTTTCCTGGCAATTTGCAGTCATTTTATCACGCGTTTGCAGTCCCGTTTCTGCAAGACGTGGAGCTACTGCGGAAATAAAACCTTTCTAATTCAGCCCCGCTCGGTAAAGAGGTTCTACCAAATCTTTGCCCTCCATCAGCTCTGCACAGTTCTCCCCACGGAGCAGCAGGCAGCCCCCAGCCCAGCGCCGTGCAGGCACTGAGCTGCATTAAGAGAGGTTGCACCGTTGTAAATATCTGTGCCATCTCTCTGTATGAAGGGAGCCATGGGGTGTCCCATAGTTGCGAATGGCGCGAGGAGCGGCCAATGAACCCACAGCTGTTCTGGGGGAGCTCGCTCTGACCCTCTGTGTTTCCCAGTTGAGGACGGGGCCTGATTCAAAGTCACCTGCGTGCAAACAAGACCGGCTGTGGTCGCTGGGCAGCAATGGCCGCTTCTACCCTTTGCAAAGCACTGGAATGTTGAGATGAAGGGCCCTGTGTGAGCAGCACTGCTTTCCTTTGTGATCATTGCAGCAGGACGGAGGTGTGTCAGAGCTGCTGCTGTGGGATCAATGCTCCCCCCAGCTCTGTTCTCGCTGGCATTTGCTCAGATTCTATTTACAACCCACAGGAGTGTGGGAGACTCAGAATCCGCTCACTTCAGGACACTGCAGGAAGTGAGGGCAGAAGGAATGGGAAGGGGCAGCAAAACCGCGCTCTGTGCTTGCAGCTCAGCCTGCCTCGTATCAGAGCCTTTGCACAAAGCAGAAAGAGCCACACGTCATCCCCAGAGCTGCGTGGAATTCGGAATGTGACTGTAATAGCAACCTGCTTCTGCTTACTCACGTTCTCGTTGCTTTCCATGTGATAATAATATCATCTTACAGATTTGCAAGGAGGATTAAAGGCTACAGCTCTATTCTCTTTCACTAAAATACTATTTTTAGTTTCTAATTACTGATCAGGAACATCGGTGTGCAACCTTTCCCATGCGGTCGCTGCTCTGAATCCATCGTGCTTTTGCCATCACGTAACCCAGCAGCAGCACTGTGGGCTCCAGGAAGGGAACCCAGCACCAGTGTGCTCCTGGTCCTATTCCCAATAGCTGCACTTTGTGCTCTCCTCTCATTTCCAATTTAAGAAAAACTGCTAAACCCATTAGTCTGATCTATGTCTGATCTATCGAGTACAACTCCCTTCTTAAGCATTAACCCTTCTCCCCATGTACGTTTTATGGTTTCTTAGGAGCAGGTTCTGGTTGCTGAGGTGAAGAGTTACCCCATGGAGCTCAGGAGGAGACGGTTCTGCTTGGAATAAAGCACAGGTTGCCTTATTTTTATTGATTCAAAGCTCCATCCAGGCTCACAAGTTGTCCAGTGTGCAGCACACGTTTTCCATCCTCCTGTGCTTTGGGGATGCGGACGAGTTTCTGCTGCAGCCAACAACGGCTCAGCGTGAGCATGGCTGGCAGGATGCGGCCAGAAGGTTCCAGAACGGGCTGCTCAGCGAGGCCTAGCACTGAGCACAGCACAGCCGGCCTTGGGAAATGTATCTCATCCTGTTTGGAGTCACGTAGAACTATTGCCAGATCTCCCAATACAAAATATTTCACGTCACAGTGACCGAATTCCTCTCTTATCCTTCCTTCCGTCCGCACCAAATCCGATAAGCGAGTGCTGTCTTCCCAAAGCAGAGCTCTGACGGCCTGCTCGCCTTCCGTGCTGAGGGCAGAAGCCTCAGCCTTCTGCTGCTGAAACAGGAAACACTGACAGATCCTTCCAGATAATTCCATTGTTACGTGAGCAAATACAGCCTTTGCTTGAGGTGAAAATGGCAGAGGGCATCTCTGCCACACGGCTCAAAAGCCAGCAGGGATGAGCGCAGGAAATGGCAGCGCTGCCCATTTCAGCTTTTGTCCTGGCTGATGTTTGGGTGTCACAGAGGCAGACACAATGTTAGACTTTGTGCTTCCCATTCCTCGCAACTTCTTTGTTTCAATTCGGCACTAACCTTCTCAGCTAGAGAGTAGACATTTCTCCTGCTGGGTACAACCCCAGGTCACTGCGTTCCATGCACAGCCCACAGCCCACAGCCCACAGCCCACCCCGTATCCCAGCCCCATCGCTGCCCCCAGCCCTGAAGCTCTTGCAGAGCTAAGCTCCCACCCCAGGCCCGCTGTGCCCCGCAGCTGCCAGCCGTGCAGTTCTGTATCAGCAGCCACGTGCAAATCAGTGGCTGCAGCCACGTCACTCTCCAATACGTCATATGCACACACTGTGCCCCAGGCAACCAACTGGCTGTGCCAGTTCTCATCTGCAGTTTGTGCTGGTTTTTTTTTTTTTATAATTAATTAACGCATATTTTTCGCTAATCCAGGGTCAGAATTGGAGGCACAGCCCCTCAGAGCAGCATAGCAGAGTTCAGCAGACCATAACCCTGTGCTCCACGCTGCTTTATCTCATGTTTTGCTTTTTGGAAAGCACAGAACTCCTAGTTCCCACTTTGATAAGCAGTTTGTTCCGTTGCTAGGAGACACACCCTTTCTTTGTAAATGTTACAAATCAACCATATCGAATCCATTATTCACTAGCTGCTGCAGCTTCCCACTTCCATCTATTAAGAGACAGCGATAGTGCCAGAAATGTCACAGTGGTCTCATGTGACAGGTGGCGTTGATTTATCTTCCATGGTTTGTAATGCTGCTGTTGGTCAATGGGAACGAGCAGCACAGCTCAGCACAGCGACCTGCGGCGAGGAGGAGCAGCCGGCACCGCGCTCTGGGCTGGGAATGGCACCAGCACCCTGCAGAGGGCTTTGATTGCTATTTTCTGCTCCTATCTGCTGTATTATTATGGTCGTTTCTTTCGTGCTTGTCACTGTGTAAGACTTTGATTCTGAGGTTTCGTTCCAGGTTTATGATGGAGTCAATGAGAAGGGAGGCGGAGCAGCACGTGGTGAGCAGTGGGACGGGACGTCCACCCATCCACTCCAACTGCTCTACAAAAAACACGACGCATCGGGTGCGAGAGCCACCACACAGCTGGGCAGATGTGCTCAGGCCACCCGCAGTCTCTGCCACGTGAGGCTCAGGAAGGCTGCATTCACCCTCCTGATGTGGCTTAGGTCTCTGACAGCACCAGTATTAGCAGTAGTGGTACCATTTTTACTTGCTGCCTGCGGATCAGGGCCCAGCCTGTGTCTGATAAACAGCTCCTCATGTCGATTTCCCAAGCTTTGGGAAAGTTAAGCAATTCTCACTTGACCATGTTTGCAGAATGCCACTTCTATACATAAGGAAACACATCAGAGCCCCACAGCACAACATGGGGCCGAGGCCTGCAGACACTGAGCGCACCACCAGCGCGACCTCAGTCAGAAATAAGGGCTGTCCGTCCATGACACCACAAAGCATTCTGTGGCTGCTTATCCTGAATAACCCCTGCACTGACCTGCAAAGCGTCTCTGAACACTATAATTACTAAAGGAACCCCAGAAAAGCAAAGACTGCTACTTCTGATTGACAAAGCACTTACGGCGTGTAGGAAGACCGCTGCCCACAGGGGCAATTAATCCATTTGGTTCATTAGTGCAGAGGGTGACACTGCTCCGTGGGGCCCTGCTGTGTGTGACAGCACTGCAGGTGGCAGAAGGGATGGGCTTCAATCTCATCTGGCACTTCATCCTTCCAAATAATGCACCCACAAGATGTCACTGCTGTGAAGCTCAATAGCAATTGATGGGGATTTGGAGGACTGAACGTTTCTGGAGGGCAGGCTGCCACTTCCCTTCCAGGGCTTTTCAACAGGACTCATTTAGAAGTGCCAAAAAGTTACAGCCAACGCACGGCTGATGGTAACGCAGTGCACCAGAGCTTCTGCAAGCTGTATTCAAAACAACAGTGTATTCTGAGCATGGAAGGGGAAAATGTGATAGACAATGAGGAAGTGTTAACATCGTAACATCCCACAACCACACAACAAATTCCAGCACTGCACTCTGCTCTAAAAGAAATGCTCAGCTCTGAAATCCCCGCGGGGAAAGCAGCAAACAGTTGGGATTCAAACACTGGTGACACTGCAGCCACTGCAGGAACACAGGGAGGAGTCCAGCAGCGCAGCTCCGCTTCTGGAAATGCAGCTACGTCACAACGACGCGTTTTTATTCAGTTGGGAGATTCTGTAAACAACACAGGCGTTCTGACGGAGCTGCTCCGTTGGGATGGATTGGGAAAAGAGCTCCGTTTTCACGAGCACACAACCGCTGTCAGTCTTTGCCCCCTCACCTCCCCTCCGCTGGGATCCACACACAGCTGAAAGATCCCCACCTCGCGGCCCCAAGGAGCAAATGGCGAAAAGCGCAGCAGCCACGGGCGGCTCTTCAGCTCCTCCACGTGCAGCACAGCAACAGCCACAGCTTCAGAGCAACTCCACAAAGCACAGCACAGGTGCAGAAGGGCTCCAGCTTAAT